CCACCTGTTCTTTTCATGGAATAGAACTAGTAAGTGCAGGTCATTGCTTTCATCACCTAAAAGAAAAAAGCCCACCCTTTGAAACTCTCCAAATCAGTCTCTGTGGTTCAGTGCATTCAGGGGTTTTGTGATGATGTGTCATGCTTCTGCTTCAATTAGTCATATTCCTGACTTTCCTCATAATGCCTTTTGACATCCTCTAGGGAACATGAGGGAACAGGCCCTGCAGCTACAGACAAACAGTACAATCCTTAAGAAGTGGGGCAGTGATACATTTATCATAGTTCTGTTGTCCAACGCACTGGATTTAAAATGAAACAATGGGGTTAAAGTGCTGACTCTCAGCCTCGCAGTTATTTGTCATAGTTAAAACACATACTTTCCACATTTTACGACAGTGCTGCAGGATGACCCATACAGACAAGGTAGCCAAGGAGTGTTTTTATGGCCAAACAATGGAATGTTTTAAAAGTTCAGCTGAAAGTCTGCTTTGGTCTTGTGACGTAAATGTCAGATTGTAATGTCTGCAAGGGTCTGCGTGGTTGTCCGCAGAGGGGTCTGTGTGCAGCCTAAAATTTTGCGACCGCATAGCAAGTGCCCACTACAGATAACAAAATGGATCGGTTATGCAAGGTAATCCCCTGTTATCCACAGTCATAGAATTTGTGTTTAGGAATTGAAAATATAACAATGCAACAATTATGTTATGAGGTCACCATTTTCTTGTACATGCTTTTTCTTTGGGAAATACACATGCATGGACCACCAGATCAACATGGACACAGAATGTGGAAAGTATGTCCAAGCCTTGAGTCTCACCTTTTTGGAATCAAAAAGTGTTGGTGTTCTAAATTTATTCCAAATATATTGACAGGAATATTAATAAAAGGCTGAGCCCTGACAAGGGAATGAGAGGCAAAGTAAACTAACTCACACTATAGCTTTCTGTACAAGCCGTGGGCAGAAAGAGTGTGATTTGCAGTTGTATTGAAGAGTAAAGATCATGCCAACATCTAACTTGACCAAAATTATATTTGCAAGTAGGTTTACATTGTTTAATGCACTGCAGATGACCAGCTAATTAGCTATTTAGTGTGCTAACTGAATTTAGTGGTGCACTTTATACCTGCGACTGATACACGCATTCATCATCAGTTTGCTTTCAAGACTGCCACCAGGAAGCACTTAAACTTGGCTAATCCATTTATGGCTGCAATCATAAATCCAAGCATCACTATTACAGACTATTACAGACTATTACAGAGAAAAAGGTCTGCTGAGAGATGAAACTTTAAACTTAAAACACTATTTTAAAATCAAAATGATTCTCTGAATGTGCCAGAAAAATAACCAGTTTGTTTGTTAATAAATAATATGATAAATAAATCAGGCAGTCAGCAGCTGCGTGTGCCTTGCAGTCATAAAAGTGAGATGGGAAGTAAATGGTTCACTAGAGTCAGTCAGTGGGTTAACATCTTTGAGGGGATCTGTGTGTGCTTTGAGAGCAATAAATTATTCCTCTGGTATACATCAAAGATTTCAGACGGTGCTTCTTTTTCACACTGTTCTTCAGAAGTGTTACAAATCTCTTTGAAGCAGCTTTAGTACTTAATGAATCATTTGTATGGATTGATATTGATATCTCTTCTATTCTCAAACTAGGCCTGATACGTGACACTGATGGTCCTCTGCTATAATGAAGGAAGACAGTTTACTCTTGAAAATGTGAGACAAATCCTCAGTTTTGCAATAATATTATTCTATTGAGAATAAGTGAGGAGTAATTACTAATATACTACGGTACACA